AACTAATCAAGTATGGGAACAAGAGCTAAGTCAACCCTTGAATATGACGAAAGAACAAGAGTTGGATATAAATATGAAGGACACAAAGATGGAATATGAGGAATCATATTCTGTGTCTGTTGAAGCTTTTCAAAGGCAAAGAAAAACAGAAGAGAAAGAAAAATGGCGGAGAAAAGGAGGAACGCACATTGAAAGTACRAAGGTACAAATGTTTGAGGCAACATTTTCTGTGCTTGATGAAGCTGTGACCGGAAAGGAAAATCAAGAATTGAGCAAGAAAAGTTGTATGGTAACACATGATTGTAACAAAGGGGGGTTGTTTACCACTGTTGCTGATGATAAAGAAAGCTCTTCCCAGTCTTGTAGTGTAGAAGGCTTGATGCGAAATTCCACGTCTGATGGAAGTTCTTCTTTAGAACAGAAAAGCGATGAATCTTTCTCCATCTTGAAGAATACCTCTATATCTGACCTCACCCCTGGTGGGTTTAATCCGGTATTTACGAGCACTGCTCGACCGACATCACCGTCAGCTGACAAAACCCAAAMCCTCAGAGCAGAAGAAACACAGGATCACCCAGGAGAAGCAGAAAAGCTCACTGCAACGAAGAAACATGTAACATTTGGTAAGAGCATACTTTACATGACCAGACATGACTTTGAAGRAAGTCTAGATACAAGTCAAGGTATTGCCTCTCCGTACCATAATGATCCAACAGATGATGATATCGTTCCTTGTACTCAGCAGGAGGACGATAGTCAGTTGATGACATTCCAAGACCCACTGCARATTTTGAGAACGTTGTCCTCTTCTGCCACTGAAGTGCTCCAAGAAGATYCAAAATCCAAGGTGTCGTCGGKTGGTSCTRGCCATGATGKTGAAGTTGGCCGTTATGATGRTACTATGCAACGTCTGCTTGGTGATGCAGTAAAGTTTRTTGATAGTGGGAATGTCCCAAAGGGTTCACCCAATGATTTTAGTGCCAAGATGCAGCATCCAAATGGTAATATACTACAAACTGTGGTTGATAGTAACGTTCAGAGGAGCTCAACGAATGATGCAATGCGGCATCGGGGTCGTGAAGAGCATGCTTCTCGCTTGGCAAGTTGTGACAGTGATGTGCTGTGGCGACAAAATCTTGACAAAAAACAGCGCCTAAATGATGGTGATGCTCCAAATGATAACGATGACRATTCACAGGGTTCTTCCATTACTGGGGATGATAAGGAAATTATTCTATGCAGCGATGAAAGTGAAGAATTCGTACGTTCTCCTACTACAGTCGCGAAAGACAGTGTCYTGCAATGTATAAAACAGTCAAATAACAAGGTTTGCAATGACCTTATTATGGGCAGCGATGACAGTGCYGGCAACAATATCTCCAGCTCTCCTAAAACTGCTGCAAAACAGAATATCCTTCGATGCATTCAAAAGCAGGCAAATAATGGCTCTAAGGATGACGTCTCAAAAGCRCGTAGCCAATCAAAGCAGACCTCGAAATCACCATTAAAAGGTCGGGAAACGCAGAACGTTAGTGTTAAAGGACGAGAAAAATCGCTGCAGTTTACTTTAACGGATTCAGAACTTGGGAAAGCTTTGATTTCACCTGCGGAAAAAGAGAACACTTTCTTGCCTGGCTCAAAAGGTGTAAATAATTTGGAAGAAGGAAAATCCCCTCCCCAGGTGCAGCGCGTCACTTCAACAACTCCCGTGATAGAAGGTGGATCATGTGCTATTCCATGTTCAACGTTTTACAAAACTAAATGTAATAACTGTAAGAAGCGACCTCGAGAAGGTTTGGTACAAGTTGAACTAGGACCCGACGTAAACTTGATGTCACTTGCGGAAGATACAGGTAAGGAARTGGAGTCAAAGTGGAGTATTTGATGTATAGCTGTGGGAGGGAAGGATAAAAATAGACAGAGAAAAAAAGATAAAAGACAGACAGAAACGAAGGGAGCTACTACCGCAAGACTGTACCTCCATCACCACTGTTGCCATGGACATCCATAAAAATATTGCAATACCGGCTGACTTGGACAAAGGTAATGGCATAGATGAATTTAGCTCAGGCATAATATTTCCCCATTCCAAACCACGTGTTTTCCCCTAGAGTAGCATTTCTTTGTTTAATGGTTGCGCTTGAGAAGACACATGGATATAGATACAACTCCAACGAAGAATCTTATTATCGAAAGAATGACACGTGGTCTGGAAAAATATTACGTCCCAGCTAATTTGATCTACTCCTGATCAATTTGAATTAAAGGTGTTCATGATGGTAATAAAGCTGTTGCCATGAAGACGCATGCTTTACCATCAGGGACATCAAGTGATGTAGCAGCACTTGTACCAGGTGAAGGGAATTTGAAAAGAAAGCGTGCACAAGAAGATGATGAAACTAGAGCTGCGAAGAAGCTACTRACAATCTCCGCGCCGTCGACTGCTTCAGCTCAAGGTTAGTCACTTCGGGCATTGCGGTTTTCAAAGAGCAAATTTGTTATGAATGTGAAAAACTAGTGCTACGGACGTGTCGTGTCGTGACGTGTCGTGCAGTGATCGTGATGTCGCCTTGTCGGACCATATTAGTTGGCTAATGATGATGATTGCATCTTTCAGTATCAACAACTTGCTTGAATACTATAAAGAATAAGGACAATAATGTAAGAGTAAGTATTCTGTTCAATGTTATCAACTTTTACTATTTGAACAGCGAAAATAAAGGCTATGCATCCTGTCCAACTTTTGGTAGTGGAGCCAATCAGAAACCAGGAGTAATTAATAGCCTTGCAACATAATATATTGTCTAGTTATCTAAGCTATCTAGTTGATTACACGTAACATTAAGGTCAAATTATCGTTCTCGTGCATTGATTGGCTCRACTACCCTAAGTTGGAATTTATTCTTTTTTTCTACATTTTGATTGGTTTTAGCTGTCTACTGTTTTCAGTAGTCGCACATTAAAATAAATATATTAAAATAAAGTATTTGAGATATTGTTGCCACGTACAACTGCTCGATCCTTTAGAGACTCGCTGAGGTTACATTATTCTAGTGTTGATTGAATGACTATGAATTCCCACTAATGTAAAACCATAATTTATATATACAGTCAATGTTATTAACGTTGTCCACCGAAAAAAGACATTTACACATTTACACATTTAGACTGAAGTGAGCCTGAACTTTAAATGTAAAATCAGTCAACTCGTGAATCGAAAATCCAGAATGCCCCGACCATTTAGTGAGGATTTAAGATGGAGAATTGTACTTCAGCGTTTGTTTTATGCCAGAATGTTCGAGGAAACACGTGATATTTCTTTTAGTCTAAATGTCTAAATGTGTAAATGTCTTTTTTCGGTGCACTACGTTAATGACATTGACTGTATATGTAATGATTCTACAGGTGCTGAATGCGGATGCTAGTTTCCAGGCCTTTACAGAGTATAGCTGTGACCACGTGTTGTATTCCCAACAGGATCCTTTAGTTCTTGAGTTTTCTTCAAGCGAAAATTCAGATAACGATTCTTCTCAGGTATTAAATTATGCATGCTTAACTCGTGCTGTAACTGTTTATTTGAACATCGCTTTCTTTTTTAATAGACCTAATTTGTCTTGGTGCAATGTTTCCCCATTTCAGACCATGTGTCATACCCTTGAGAATACGATTCTGCTTTTAAAGACCCATTGCCACTTACCGTGATGCATCACAATTTGTTTACATTTTGAATCGTGTCACCACTGAAAAAACAATTCCAACCTTTTGAATAAACTCTTATGAAGTTATTATTCAATATATGAATCTTTGAATTTCATGGACCACGAAATTCATCTGTGACCGCGGTGCATCACGGTAAGTGGCAATGGGTCTTTAAGTTGTATAAATATTAAAGGTTCTTAGCCTTTACGTGCAACTGTTAAACAAAAAAATGATACTCTTAGAAATGATGCTCTTTAGTCTGAAAAAATCATTGCTCGACGRCAAATACGGTCTATTAGCTTTACCTTATACTATGAACCTTTCACTTCGGAAAGGGGAGCCGGTATTGGATATATAAAAATAAACAATAAATGGGATCAATTATTTGCATTTCTACAGAGCAGGACTTCGTCCACTTAAATTCTAATTGGAATTTAGAAATTAAGTTTTACAGAGGGACGAAAAACGGAGAACCCGGGAAAAAACCAGCTGGAATCCACTGTTAATTCTCTTATTATTTATTATTAATTCGACCCCGTTTTCCCCTCTACAGCTTGGAATGGCCAATACATTGGCGAGTTTCATAAAGTGGGAGGACTGATTTGAAATCGGACAATCGTGAAAACGATGCCCAGTGACGTTTGTTCATTCGGTCAAAATCGGACTGTATTTGTCGAGCTCAATGATATCATACAACTACCTCCCCAGTCCTCCAACTCGATATTAAACTCGGCACCGTAATCTCCTTCTGTAGATTTTGTAAAAAAGTTAATGATTTTGTCTTATTACTTTTAGCCAAAGCTGCCATCCTTTCTCCATTTTCCGAACTTTATACTTTGCTCTTTGTATGCCTTCTTGTACAGCGACAAGAATCAATACTAAACAGAGCATTTTTTTTCAGGAGAGCAAAATTAACGATTTGCTTTCAAGTCCCATTTTATTACCCAGTCCACCWCGTGAAACGAAAACGGTACGTTATTTTTTTTAGTATTATATCTTTTTTTTATCAATATCGCTTCAAGCGACATGTGAATGCCGATTCAAATCAAAGAATCGTGCACGCAATGGGATRACACTGGGTCTGATATAACTGAAATAGGAAAACATTATCCCTAAGCTAATAGACCTCTTTACCTTGGACGAAATGTTTTCCCATATCAGACCACTTGTCATTACCTAGAGTTTAACGGTTGTGATTTACATGAGAAAGAATTCAGTTTCCCACGGAGGAAGGCACAACACTATTGTTGTGCCTCCTGTCATGGCTGCCATCACGTAATGGTGCAAAGCCTCTATTGACACCCAAGAAGTGTCAAAATCGTTATGAATAATGTCAAAGGTTGTCGCGGAAACAAACATAACTAATGTAATATTATTTGATGACTCAGGTTTTTTTTCCTGCAGGTGCGTCGGTCTATCGAAACAGGGGTGGCTAACCTGAAATTTATAAACACTGAAAAGGCCATGGAAGAGTTTTACATGTCAGAGGAACAAGAACTCTCCGCTTCTCCCAAGTTTGTATCGTTGCCCTCATAYCAGGTACATATTGAAAAGATCTTTGAAGATTTTTATTTTGCGATACATCCATTTCAAGAAAGGTTGAGAAGCAAACGGTGAATGGAGATCGGTGTTTGGCGATTGCACGGCCAAAAGGAACTTTGGGCATACATCTAAACACGGATAGACCAAATTCAAAACTCGCACCGATGTGAGGCTTAAGTTGTGAACAAAGGAATCTGGCGTTATTTGTGACTTTTGAATCTCGCCAGATTACTTTGAGTCACGCCAAATCCCTTTGTTCACAACTTAAGCCTCACATCGGTGCGAGTTTTGAATTTGGTCTATACCAATTGAGTTTTTTAAAACTGCTTCGTCGACTATAAACAACACTAAATACATCAACATTAACCTCTGTGTTATTGACAAGAATGGAACTTGAAATGACCTCTCTCATCGTCTATTACTTATTGCCGTTCGCTTTTTAACCTATTTTATAAATATTATGGGTTGCTCATTTCTTTCTTATTWCTTTCTCCGTCTATCTTTCCCATCCCAACTGCCCTTTCATGTTCCATTCATCCGTCTATTCATCCTTCCTCCAAGTTATYTTTCCGCCCATTCCTCTTCCCATCCATCTTTTCGTTCGTCCATCCGTCCGTCCGTGCATCTACCATGCATTACATACTTCTTCACGTTCCTTCCTTTTCAGATATCCGTGCGTCCATGCATCCGTCCCTCTGTTCATCCAACYATCCCTTCGTTTATTTATTGAAATTTTTGAAATTATTCTCCCTGGTTTTCTCATCAGGTACCAACTACGAACAACAATAAATGTTCTGACCTCGCCAATAAACAGAAGAATACAACACAGCACACTAACACATCACAAGGTAAAATCAAACCAATTATTCTAAGTGACTCAGAAGAAGACGAAAGTGAGAGCAGTTTCTGTTGGTTTACGACACGGTAGGTCATGTCATGTCATGTGTATGCTAAGGTCCGTTGGTTGAAATTCATCGTTGCTTGGATATTGGTCTATAAGGATCTTCATACTTCGACAGTTCGATCATCCTGTGGTTTGAAGTTTGTAATTTACCTGGATTTTATTGGTTGATTCAAAATAATCAGCAAATGAATATGTTTGGTCACAATTGATTTACCAATTTATAATATGGTCATTAATAAGAACGTCCATAGCTAGTAACCTGAATATACTCATCCAAAGAATTAAGAACCCTTCGTGTTCATTGGTTGATCCAATGGTTCATTGGTACCATTGTRGTCACCAATAAGATGCTCCATAGCTAGCAACACTATACTGATCTAGGAATGGCCTTCATAAAGATTGTGATCCCTAGGATTTCATTGGTCGATCTAGGGGTTCATTGGTACCATTGTGGTCACCAATAAGATGCTCCATAGCTAG